ACTGTATTTTGGGGTTCTCAAGAACAGCTCCTGCTCCTCCTCTGTATTACTGTACTACCTTTTAAGTACTGTACTGTATAGTATTTGAAAAGTGATATCCTATTTCCCCTCAGTCTTCTTTCCTCAAGACTCAACAGGCCTAGTTTCTTCAATTTTTTCCTCACAGGGCCTGGTTTCCAGTCCCTTGATCCTTCTTGTTGCCTTCCTCTGAACTTGCTCCAGTTTGTCAGCCTCCTTCTTCAGGTGCATTCATTGCTCAAGATGATGCCTCACCAGTGTTGACTAGAGGGGGGGACTAGTACCTCATGGGGTTTGGAGAAGCAATGGCAGAAGCAAGGAGGGGCCAAGGCAGGGAAGGAGGGGCTGGAAAGCCGTTGGTGACAGTTGCTCTGAAGCAACTGAAAGGAATCCTGTTCGGAACTGGTACAGACTTTTAGACAGAAAGGCAAGTGAATTTTGGATCAGGTGCAAGAATATGTGGGGGGGGAAAGAAAATAGTGGCAAAGTAACGTGACAGGCATACTATTATTTGTTTGTTTAAAGCATCTTTACCCTACCTTTCTCCTTAAAAAGGATCCAAGGCAGCTTACAGCATTAAGAGGCGGTATTTAAAGCTAAAAACAGTAAATATACAAACACTGGAAAAAACAATCAAACAAAGGCCATACTAAAAATGGTAAACAAAATCAACAAAAACGCATTAGAAGCAACAATGTGTAATACTCAGTTAATAAAACCCCTTCTCAGATGGCCAGTCACTCAGGGAAAGCCGGCCTGAAGAGAAAGGTCTTTGCCAGTTTGCCGAAGGACAGCAAAAATGGGGCCAGCCTGGCCTCCTGTCGGGGGGAGTTCCAGAGTCTGGGAGCAGCCACAGAGAAGGTCTCTCTCCTGTGTCCCCACCAAAACACACCTGTAAAGGTGGCAGGACTAAGAGAAAGGCTTTCCCTGGTGATCTTAACGCCCGGGCAGGCTCATAGAGGGAGACGCGGTCCTTGAGATAGTGTGGGCACAAGTCCTTTACGGCTTTATAGGTTAGAACGAGCACTTTAAATTCTGTCCAGAAATGAATCAGCAGCCAGCGGAGCTGCTATAACAGTGGGGTTATGTGATCCCTGAGACCAGCCCTAGTTAGCAATCTGGCTGCTGAATTTTGGACCTGCTAAAGTTTCCTGACACTTTCCATCGGAAGTCCCACACAGAATATGGGATAGTCCAACCAGGATGTAACTAAGGCAAGTGTCACCATGTGCCAGATCAGGCCTCTCCAGCTATAGGCACAACTGGTGCACTAGTTCTAATTGTGCAAAGGCACTCCTGGCCTACATAGAGAACCATGATTAGACACAGAGCATGAAAAATGGGGGGGGGGACCCAGAAAATCCAGTAATGAAAACGAACAGAAATAGTAACATCAAAGAAACACAGTTTTAAAGGGTTTCTGTAACATTTTTTTACAGAACTGTTTTGAAAGACAGCTGATATTTGAAGTTGATTAGTGCCAGTCTCTGCTGTAAAAGGTTGTGATCAGAAGCTTTGAGTGTTAGCGCTGATCTATTCAAACAAACAAACAAAAATCCCTATCCCAAAGTCCAGAAAATAAATGTTAAGTCTTCAAGCTTTTTGAAATATTTTTGAATCATTTGTTTAAAGGATGGTTGTTGTGGGTTTTTCGGGCTTCTTGGCCATGTTCTGAAGGTGGTTTTTCCTAACGTTTCGCCAGTCTCTGTGGCCAGCATCTTCAGAGGACAGCAAACTGTGCTCTTGTTTAAAGGATGTTGGTTCCTTAAAGAGAAGAGAAATGTGTTTTGTTTTGTTTTTTGAATATGCAGAGACAGGTATACTTGGTGCTACTTTGGCACTGTGAGGCATCAACCAGCACAAAGTGGGAAGGGACAAACGTTCCGTTTAGATGAGCTTATACTTAGAATTCAGTCATCACCTCCCTAGATTTGCAATGGGCAAAAAGGAAGCAGTAAAAACATAAGTCATTTCAATAAGAATTGGTTTAAAGGTAAAGAAATACCAAATAGTATTTTTAAAAAGAATCTTTAAAGGAGGGGGAAAAAACCACACCACACATTTTACAGTTTAATAGGGATTAACAATAATAAAAAATAATGGATTTTTTTTGTTCTCAGGCAAAGGGCAACCAAGATTGGTGATTGCTGATCAGCCCTCAGGCAAACATATCTACTTTGCCTGAGGGATGGCAACTATATTGCTAAGGGAATTCCAGTTGTCTTGGTGACAGATAGGGAGCTTCTAGTTGCCATGACAACAAAGGATGCTAAACCTTAGTAACTTACACCCCTTCCCTTAAGGCCTTCTAAACCACTGCATTGTTTTGATGCTATGGAGGCAAGTGGAAAGAATCTGAGATGCTAGAAATTACATTTGCATATCCTTTAACGTAGGTATGTTTTCCTAGTTAGGAATGAGTTTAGATTGGGGCCAGAGGACTAAAGGAAATAAAAGTGACAGAAAGTTAAGGCACTGGGCTGTATTCCCAGTTCTGGGAGGGTGAAAACAGTATGTGTATACCATATTTATGAACTATGTTTCCAGATTTGGCATAATATGATCTCTGCTACATTACTTTCCATCTCTCTTTCTCGGTCTCATTTTCTTTCTCACACACATACATACACACTTTCCTTCCTGCTTGTTATCTTAAGAATATGAAGAACTAACTTTCTGGCAGGAAGGAAATTTCACTAATTAATTGAATTAAGATTTTACTCTTTGCTCAGAACACAGTTTTCAGGAAAGATAACAAAATCTAGGAAAGATGAGAAAATAACATTTGTGAGGACCAACTATAATTCCACCATAGTAGGCAATCTGTTGGTTTCTCCAGAACGCTTTCTCAGATTCTGTGGAAAAAAAAGGTAAAGAAGAGAGGTGTGGAATTTTTTAAAAAGTGCAGATCATTAGCTAAGGCCTGAATCTTTATCTTCTTTTGCTATTAATATCATATCCTCCCCCCTTCTATTTTCTCCCCTAGCAATTTTCCTCAGCTTCACGCATGTCATAATAGGATACCAATTGAGAGAGGCAAAGATCATCTTCTTGGTGGCCACAAACACCTCTTAACACAAAAGACTAACTAAAAACCATCCAGTTCACACTTTGGATTACCAGTGCCATCTCCTGCTACCACTTCAGCCTGTAGTTATGGATGCTGCCTCTTTGCAGGAGGAACAAGTGTTACATTCCTCTCATCTAGATGAAGAAGCCAAGAAGCCAGCTCAAGTCCCTCTAGAAGACTCAACCAACAGGCTTGCAAAGCTGCCGAAGAAGGGCAGACAAGAAGCACGGCATCTGAGGGGCAGCCATGGCTCCCTAGGGATCAGAGTGAAGGCAGCGGCTGACACTGGGAGTTTGAGACGACATCCGTACGTCCCTGAAGTTGACCCCTACTATTATCAAGTCAACTGGCCTCAAGCAGTGCTGCAGAAGTGGAGCACAGAGAGGTTTAACTGGGAGAAGAGTTTTAGCTTGACCACCAGCCAAGATGCAGCGACTAAAGATCAAGACTTTGGATGTACAGAGCCAGAGACTAACAAAGGGGACACATAGGGTTATATTGAACTTGTATCCTAATAAAGAAAAGAGACTAAGATGATAAATGGATGTAGAAACACATTGCCTTTTGTGGTGAGAAGGTAGCACAGAGCACTCAGGGTTTAGTGTCTGCTGCCCCCTGCAATCCAACTGAAGAATTGCAGGGTTTTATATCAAGCATATATGGTGGCACTGCGGGCTAAACCGCAGAAGCCTCTGTGCTGCAAGGTCAGAAGACCAGCAGTCGTAAGATCGAATCTACGCGACGGAGTGAGCTCCCGTCGCTTTGTCCCAGCTCCTCGCCAACCTAGCAGTTCGAAAGCATGTAAATTCGAGTAGATAAATAGGTACCACTTCGGTGGGAAGGTAACATGGCGTTCCCTAATCACGCTGGCCACGTGACAACGGAAACTGTCTTCGGACAAGCGCTGGCCCTATGGCTTGAAAAACGGAATGAGCACTGCCCCCTAGAGTCGGACACGACTGGACTAAAAAAATGTCAAGGGGAACCTTTACCTTTACCTATATCAGGCATGCTAGAGAATCTCAGATGTCATGGAGGGTAGAGCCCTTCCTTTTAAACATGTCCATAGTATTTGTGCTTTAAGTCCAGTTTGGTGACATCTCAGTATGTAAAATGAGTCTGCTCTGCATTTGGGTTGCCCAAAGGAGGAGGCTTTAAAGTTCTGCATAGTTTCTGCCACCTCTCCTTGTACAAAGAATTCTGCATAGTTCTTACCACCTTTCTGTGTATCATAATGGAATAATAGCAACAAAGACTTTAAGAGATGTATCCTCAAAGGCTTTCACAGCTGGGATCCGATGGTTGTTGTAAGTTTTTTGAGCTGTTTGGCTGTGTTCCAAAGGTCTTCCTAATGTTTCACCAGTCTCTGTGGCCCACCTCTTCAGAGGACAGGAGTCAGAACTCTGTGTCACAACAGAACACAGAGCTCTGACTCCTGTCCTCTGAAGATGCCAGCCACAGAGACTGGCAAAACGTTGGGGAAAAAAACTTCCAGAACATGGCCAAACAGCCCCAAAAACCTACAACAACTACTTTTGATATTGGTGGATAGCAGATAGAACTAGGGTATAAAAATAATTAATGAGCTGTGTAAACATTCTTCACTCCCAGACAATTGGGAACCTGGCCATATGTTGCTAATTTTAAGAACAATCTGAAAAAAAAAATGCAGGATTCACATTTAAAGATCTTGTCTACCAACGTGAAGGTAAGAGTTGCTTTCTGCTGTGCTGTTCAGATTTTCAGAAGCCTGGCAGTTGACTCATTCTGTACAGAGGTCCAAATGCCTAATTTGCAGGAGTAAATGCGAGTGAGTAAAAAGCTCAGTATTTCCACACAAAGGGAAGCAAGGATACAAGAGTGGGGCCGACACACCATCATAATTTTTTTTTTTTTTACATTTGGCATCAGAAGGATCCACAGACCCATGGCATTACAGTACTGGGGAAAATACAGTTGTTAAGGACACCAAGTGTGATTAATCCTCCCTTTACAGGAAATTCTCTTCAGCAGTGTTAGCACTGGAGTTCTGAACGTCAGAGTTCCATGCAGAAAGTCAGGGTGGTGTCAGCCATCTTCCTCCGGTAGTCCTCATTGAAGCGTTCATTCTGAGCCACTGTGAAATGGTTCTTCCAGTCACCAACTGTCCCTGCAAGGCAAACACATATTCAGAAATGGAGAAGGAAGGGGCTTTAAACATCACCAGTGTTGGTGACTTTTGCATTTGATGAGCTTTATCTTCATTGGCACATTAATACTGATGTCTTCTAATTAAATGCAGATGAAGTTAATATCTTTATCTGCACTTAATTAGAAGATATTAATAATAATGTGCCAGTGGGAGATTTGACTAGCATGTCCCTCCAGGATGCCAAGGGGTCATCTATTCCAACACAGAAAAGGCCACCAATTGTTCATTACTTCGTGACTATTAGGTACATAAACTCAGGGTACAAATAAACAGGTTTTGTCTCATGCTTCGGTCCACTCTGAGATCAAGCTAGTTCACTCCTTTTCTTGTTAATTATATGATGTACAGGTTATCATGAACCAGCCCATCCCTAATCTATATCTACCTGCACTTTGGGGGTCTTTTGTCAGAGATTAGTGACTTTGTGTGGTGGGGTAGTAGCATCATTCTGTTTTGACTTGGTTCCATTGTGTGACTGCTGAGATCAAACCAAAATGGAAGCTATCTTCACAGGTTCTTGGGCAACTGAAAGCTTCCTCCCACTGCTCTCTGGAAGGGGAAAGAAAGGGTGTAAATGTTTCTTTTAAAGCCTTGTAAGGCAGTGCTGATGCACTATATCTTTTACAACTAAGTAACTAACTAAAAACATTTGAAAACTTCCTGCTGTTCAGAAAGCTTCCAGGAGGAAGAGACAGGAGGGATAAGGAGTGGGCTCTTTTTGGGGTTCCCCCCCATTTAAAGGGGAAAAGTGCCAAATAGGATTGTTTGAGGTGTCGTGTGGTTTCCTGACTTGAAATTCTCATGCAAGACTCACACCAAGAGGCATACTGCACCACTCTGCTACTTTAAGTGACCCTATTTAGCCCACTCCGGTCTGCTCCCATTTGCCTTTCCAGTCACACCCTGAGTGAAGACTTTGTTCCAGAGAAAGCGTTCATTATGAACCACTGTGAAATGGTTCTTCCCTGTTTAACTGGTTCTTCCCTGCTGCTGTGACCTGGGAGATGGGGGAGTGATACCTTTCCGCATGAATGGGGAAATGGACTGGTCCATGACGGAGAGAGGCACACCAGCCCGGTTCACCATGGGATTGTCTTTCATGACATCAAATGACGTATGATAGACAATCTTGTCCAGAGTTGCCTCATCGAGCTGCTTTCCCATAAATTGCATCACCTTCTGGATTTCACGTTTTGGGTCCTGTAGCGATAAGGAGAGAACTGAGGAGAGTCTAGGAAAGGGGGGGCATGAGGCAGAAAAGCACCAGGAACAAAAGTTACAGACTCCTAGAATGAGCTGAGCTCTACATAGTATTTTGCAACCAAATAGTTTTTTTTCATTTTCTGTTAAATCAGTTCTGACCTATGGTGATCCTCTATGTTTTCTAAACATAAAGTTTTCAGGTGTGGTTTACAAGGCAAAGAGAAGGGAGACAAACAAGATGAGTGGGGGGAAAGTTATTTTTTTTTTAACTTCAACTCTCAGAATGCCTCAGCCAGCATGGCTATTCAGATTCTGGTAGCTGAGGTCTACCAGAAGCAGCGATTCAACCTGTAAACTAATTTTAATCCAGAAAAACTTCTCTTTTTTATAAAAGATACTTCTGGTTTGGTCACAATTTAAGGATATTCCCTTAGAACAAAAAGACTGAGGCTAGGAGAGCCAAACCAGGTGAGCTACCAAGACTTTGGAAGCCTTCATCCAGAAACTCCTACCCCAAATGAGGTTCAAATCCTCACCCAGCTTGTGTTGCTGTGAAGAAGAGGGGAAAGATGGAATACTGTTCTGGGGACGGTCTTTCCTTCTGAAGACATTGACTTCTGCTTCTTGCTAAGATTTGGGGAGAATCTACCCATTTCAAATCTCTCCCTCCTCTTCCATTTTAGAAGGAATGGATATGAGTGTATTTCCAGATCTGCTCACTTTTTTGATGTCTTCATAGAAGAGATAGAGCACACGTTGAGTGTCCTTTGTCTTCCACCAGCCTTTCACATGATCGTACCATGGGCCCCAGCCCACTGGAAGATACAGAAAAGTAGTGGGTGTGGAGGTACATGGTGATCCGTTCCCCCGCAAACAGGTGGTACATTGACAACATTCTAAAAAGGCTCCCAAATAAGTTGGGAACAGTTGATGGGATTCTTGGATCTCTTGCTTATTTCCTAAAAAGCAAGGTATGGGACAATGGCTTGCTTTCTCTGGGCCACAGCAACCCATATGGATTGCTGGAAGCTGTAGTGCATACTAGAACTTTTCTAAGCTCTGCACAAAAGGGCCCAATCCACTGTACTCATAACTAAGCCTGCAAGCTTTTACTTGTCCAGGAATAATTGAATTTAATGGGGCTTGCTTTTATGTTGACTGAGGTATACACTGACACCAAAGTAAGCCTTTAAGGTCATACCACACATAGGCCTAACTCTGGCACTGACAGCTATGATAGAACATTTGGTATAGAGGTGATATAGCAAAAATGGGTGGCAGACTCCCAGTAAGCCAAGAAACTCATAAGCCTATTGGAAGATGGAAGGAGGACACGACACATGCCTCCTTATATACACCGTCCTAATCTTCAAGGAGATTTCAATGTAGTAAATCAATCATCATTGTCATGTGCTGTCAAGTCAATTCTGACTTATGGCAACACTTTTCAGGGTTTCCCTGGTACAGAATATTCAGAAGTGGTTCCCCATTTACAGGCACCCTGGGTTTGTACAGCTTGCTCAAGACAACACAGGCCGGCTCTACTCACAGAAAAACGGTACAGAACTCCTGACCTCTGGCTTCACAACCAGAGAGCTGAAGCACTGAGCTATCCAGCCAGCTAAATAAAGAGTGTACATTAAATACCTGCATCTCACACTACATTTGCATGCTTTCTTAGAAGCAAGTTGATCAAAGTGAAGGAGGGGGTGCATGTGTTATTCTACTGTACTCACCTTTGCCTGCCATGAAAGTCTCAAAATATTCTGGCCATGTGCCAGGATGAGGGATCACTTTGCTCATCCTTTGAAAGTGGAAATAAGACACCATGCAGTCCTTGGCATTCCTTGCTACATAAAGGAACTGATGAGGTCAACAAACAGAAGAAACGTTTAGCTATACTGTATAACTGTACGATATCTGATGTTTCCATTAGAAGCTCAAAGATGTTTATGTATGGCTTTTGGAAAGAGAGAGAGAGAGAGAGAGAGAGAGAGAGAGAGATCTACCTGTCCATACCAAAGTAATGGCTTCATAGACCTTCATGCTGATGTGATCAAAGTGACGATCAAAAGAGGAAAAGATGCAACCTCTGATATCCAGGCAGCTGTCCACCTACCATACGTTGGCAGCAGAGGAATGCATCACTCTAGAAGGTATATTCCATTTTGTGCTTTCTGTGGCATCCAGACAAAATAGTCTTGCTAGTCTGGGTGTGAGGCCATCAACAAGATTAACACCATGTTGCCTGAATTTGGTTTGCAAAGCTGTGCCGTGCGAATTGCCACATGGCCAAACCAGAGGCGACGTTAATCAAGTAAATCCAATTAACAATGCGATTCCCTTTTTTAAAAAAGGGAATCGCAACTGTACAAACACTGAGTGGTGTGACAACCACCAGGGAGTGAGGAAATATTCATCCTTTCACTGATTCCTCTTCTCAACATCTGAATAAACAGTGCCCCCCTCATCCACTATTTGTGTAGGAATAAGTCTCCAGTCGCGCTTGATGGAATCATACAATTAACATAATGTCTAGCTGGGCCCTAGAACATTGGTATAAATGGCCAAATCTGTTAAAACTTTAATTAGAGGATCCTAAAAGCCTATTTTCATTTTAATTAGAGAACCCCAAGAGCCATTTGGATTAACGTTTGTGTGTAAAGTTTTTCAGTCACTCAGTCAAACACTAAGGCCTGTATCCTACTGAGCTCTTGAAAGTTTGCTGGATCCTACACCTTTCACAAACAGAGATTGCTCGCTCCTTGAACAATGGCAAAGCTTGCAGAAGCAGCATGATTCTTCATTACTGTCTTGATGGAATTTGTTGCTCAGCAGAAGCTTAATAAGATACTGGCCTAAAGTTTTATTTAGTCATACAGGAAACCCTAGAAGAAAGGAGTATGGGGCACTGTGGTTGATACTGTTCCATCTAATAGCATTTTGGCACCAAATTAGTTTTGGGCCTTTTTGTCATGTAAGTGGCCTTCACCAGCTTGACATTCCAAATGCATTGGTAAACAATTCAGCAGCTGGCTGGGGATGGTAACATTTGTAGTTCAATATATCTTGAAAAATATCAGGTTGGAAAATGGTGCCCTGCTAGACCCTCTTCCAATAGGGTCTAGCAGCCTAATTGAGCTTCGTCACTGGTCTGCATCTCTCTTCTCTTTCTGCCTCACTCCAAGAAACACCTGTGGCACTCATCTTTCAGATGATATTGACTGTTTGGATTGGAAAGAGATAATAATAAAAAACATCTTTTTTCCGGCTAGACTAGGGGACACTGAATTGTAAAGATCAGTTGGTAAGTCAGAGGCAAAGAATTCTTAATCAAAAATATTTTGAGTGCCTTGAATCATAACTGCATCCTTGGCCCATCCCATCCCCTTATGGGGAAAAATCTTGGCAGAGACTCTGACTTGTGCAGTGTCTTCACTGAGGGTTGCAACCCCAGCAAAACAGATCAAATAAAATTGTTAAAGCTGTTAAAGTTGTGGGCAAATGTTAAGCTATCTCGCTTTTAATGGACTTGGCCTCTATTGGAGCAAAATTTAATGAATTGGCATAGGTTAATATACAAATAATTCCATTATTCTAAGCTGTAAATTCTTCCCCAGATTGTTTGAGGACAAGCACTTTGAGCGAAGAGCAGTCTTGGAAACACTGGGCTTAGTGGCAACACCCTCACATCACATTGTTAAAGAAAATTAATTCATTAATATTAAACCATTAGAATTTTAAAAAATGAATATCAACCATTTAAAAAATAATAATCAACCAAATTGCATAAACGAAAATATGAATTAAAATGAGGAGAAACACAAATTGGTTGTTAAATATTATGTGGCATTTGGGAAAATCTTTTTTTTACATTTCTTTTTCTATTTTTCTTATTTTATACTGTATTTTGTTTGTAGTTTGTAGATTTATATGTTCAAATAAAAAAGAGAAAAAAATGGACTTTTAAAGCAAAGAGTTTCAAGTTCCCAATTGTTTTTAAAAAATCATGGTAGCATATCAATTTTAAATGAATTATTTTCACACCCTGTCAATGTGTCGCAATGTCCTTCCACTTTTCCGTGGCTTACCTTGCAGTTTTGTTCCCAAAAGGACCGAGGAAGCAGCTGCACAGGAAGATGGGTCTTCAGGATCCGTGGAGAGGGCATTGCATCTGCTTGGTCTACCCCTACTCAAAGAAATGGGGAATTTGAGTTGTAAAAGGTGTGGGAGGCCACTCCACCCCATTTCTGAAGGCAAAATCTATGATCATCCCTTATTTAATGCTCTATTCGTAGATGCAACCCTTCTCCAAAGGTAAACAGAAATGTACATTTTCTAGTGCTGTGGATTATCTCATATAACAAATCACCAATCTTTCTCCTCCTCTGGCTGCACATCATGATTCTTGGAAAGGAAAGCAAAGGCAAAATGTGCCAGCATTACCTGATGGCTGTGGTGGCCGTGCCCACTCAATGAATGGGTGTCGGTGATGCACTGGGGCCCGTTGACATTTCTCCACATCACCTTCTTGTTCAATCATGTCCACTATCTCTTGTATCCATGTTGTACCTGACACAATGAGATTGACAAAGAGGGGGGATTTAAAAAAAACTATCAGTGTACATATAAACAGCACTGTAATACTCCTAGGTGAGCCGAATTCTGCACCAGCAGCTCCTGCATTCTGCAATCTGATTATAGTATAACTGTTTTGCCAACATATGCTTGTTTTCTCATGCTGCTCCTTGCAAAAGAAGAGGGAAGGAAGCACGCAGATTTCATGAGCCCTTACTTCCGTCATATACATCTCTCTTCTGCTTCTTTGGATTTTAAGAAGTGTTGAATATGCGGTTTCAACCATGGTGCCTAGAAAACTAACTTAAAAATAGGAAGCTGAATTTGTATTCATTGTAGATAAAAGCAGTATTAAGAATAGTAAAAATAACAGAAATGCAACAATCCCTTTAAACGCACCACTTAATCACCAAGAAAGCCTGCCAAAAGGACTGGATCTGCTTGTAGAAGGCTAGCAAAGGCAGGGCCAGCCTGGCTTCTTGTGGGAGGGAGTTCCAGAGTCTGAAAGCAGTGACAGAAAAGCCCCTCTCCCATGTCACCAACCAAGCACATTTGTGAGGGTGGTGAGTCTGAGAAAAAGGCCTCCCCTTATGATCTTAACACCTGGGCTGGCTCATAAAGAGAGGTGCAGTCCTTGAGATGGCTTGGACCCAAGCTGTTTAAGGCTTTATAGGTTAAAACCACAGCTTTGAATTGTCCCTGGAAATGGACTAGCAACCAGTGGAACTGCTGTAACAGGGTTATATGATCCCTGCAACCATTCCCCGTCAACAATCTGGCTGCAGCCTTTTGGACACGCTGAAGCTTCTGAACACTTTTCAAAGGCAGCTCCAGGTAGAGTTCATTACAGTAATCCGACTGGGATGTAATGAAAGCGTGTGTCACCATGACCGGATCAAACATCTCCAGGAACGGGCACACTACAACTTTCATAGTAACGTTTCCTTGCTCTGTTCATCTACAAACTTGGACAGCAGTAGTGCTGCCTTAGAGTGGATAGAATTTAGTCTTGGCTTGATTCTTACCTGCCTTAGGGTAGGTACAAATGAGCAGATCATCCGGTTTTGCTTGGAAGCTCTGGATCCGGGTCCATTCTTCACATGTGGTTTTTGGCAGAAGAATCCCATCCACTTGGCCTAGCTCCGGGCGTTCCTTTGCTTTGACTTCTTCCTCTTGGTTCTTGGACATTGCTTACAGACTGGTTGAGGAAGCACAAGATTCAAAGAGACAGAAAACTTTGAGGGGAGGTCATGTGAGTGGGAATGAAAAGGGTGTCATGTTCAATTTGTTGCTCCTGATTCTTTTTTGGAGGGGGTCTGGAACCCCCCATAGAGCCCTGAAAGTGTCAGGAGAGATTGAGCAAAGATGTGGGTTCAAAACACCCCAACAATATCATGTGTGCCTCATGGGCATTAATTCAGAATAACACTTCTTATGTCAGCAATTTCAAAGACTCAATTACATTAAAATATAGTATTTCTACCTTTTGTGTACAGTGAGTTGATTTTGAGTTTCAGAGAGACTTCCTGATAGTGCCTCCCAGCCAAGAATGAAAAAAAAAATCAACTTCCAGCGAAGATAAATGTGTAGGATTGGTTCTGCTTGTAACACACAGGAAGGTCCCTCCCAAAAGGAGTAGACCAAAGGTTCTCTCCTGTGAAGATATAACCTCAGTTAAGACATTTGGTAATTTTAGATTTGAAAAACACGCATTGGCTTGCAAGGGCTGGTCTTACTTGTGACAAAGCAAATTCCAATAGTTAAAAACAAATCTGTTTCTCGGATCACTGACTGTATAACTGTGAAGGATCACAGACAAAAAGCATGCACTGTATAGTGAAGAGAAAGTTAATGTTGCTTTTCGTGGGGTTGACGTGTGACGTTTAAGAGCTGCATAAGAGGCTGAAAAGCTGCCCAGAAGGTGATAGAAAGGAAAAGAGACAGGCAAAACTTGCAGATTACCGAAGCTGCCCAGAAGGTGATAGAAAGGAAAAAAAAAAACAGGCAAAAGAACCAGGAAGCTGTTTCAAACAGAGCTGCACCATTGCTCCCGATAACTCAGGATTTTGTATTGTTTAAATACAAAATACAACATTATTATTACCACTACTGCTAAAAATGGATGTATTTACATTTGGGGTAAAAAAAATAAATTGACCAGAGAGAAATTCTGGTGGATGACTGCCAGAAGAGAAAACCTTAGGAAGGCTGTCTTGCTCTGTCCTGTTGTTGTTATGTACTGTCAAATTGTTTCTGACTTACGGCAACCCTATGAACTTGTAACCCCTAAAAGGTCCTGTCATTCACAATCCTGCTCAAGTTTTGCAAACTCAAGCCTGTGGTTTTGCCATTGAGTCAGCCCATTTCATATTTGGTCTTCTTTTCCTGCTGCCTTCAACTTTTCCCAACATTATAGTCTCTCCCAGAGTCCTGTCTCATAGTGCTATGAACTATAGGCTCAGTTTCTTCAGTTTTTGCTTCTGGAGAAAGTTTCAGGTTAGACCTGCTCTTTAACCAACTAATTTGTGTTTCTGGCAGTCCAGGCTATCCATAAAGCTCTCTTCCAGCACCAGATTTCAAATACTTTAAATCATTTTGGCTTTCTTCACTGTGTAACTTTGATATCCCTGCATAGTCATCAAGAATTCTATAGTATTCATGATCTTGGCCTTGTTCCCCGTCTTATGATCTTAGGGCTTGTCTATACAACCATTTTGCAGCAGGCTAAATAAGGTCACTATGAGGTCCGTTATGCCACTTGATGCGATCTTTGCATCCAAATGGCATACTGAGCTGAAGTGATGCTATTTGGTCCCCACAAGCCCGCTGTCAGAAGTGGGAGGAGACAGGAGGGCCCCTTTGTAAAAGCTGCTAAACCAAGACAAACACAGACAAGCACAGGAGGGTTCCATTTTCCAAAGGCAAATTCTCCTCACACACCGCCTTAGGAAATTAAACACTTCCACATGAGCAATCATCTTCTCACATCCTCTTCACCTTTAGGTTTCCCTTTCTATGAGAGCTTGCTATTCTGTTTCCCACTTACAGGAGAAGAGTAACTGTTCTTTTTATAGGACAGGCGGCCATGGGATAAATTTCTTTGCCTTTCCCCCATCTACGCCTTTTGTTGCATTTTTAAAATCCCAAAATTCAGAAGCACAGAAGACCTCCACAGATTCCTTCCTCAGATGTCATTCGATCCCTCTGAAATAAATGCCCAGATCAACAAGAGCCAGAGCTTGGGGGAGGAAAATATATATTTTTAGATTGCAGCTTTCAGAAACTTCCTGCCCAAGCAACCCCCAAACTGTTTCAGACTCTGGGAGAGAACACAAAGGAAAAGATGAAGTTCTAAAACCCAGGTGCCTACCTGGACCTTCAAGCGTCAAGTGCTCTGGTATCACTGAAAATGGCAGTCCTGTGAGGCTTGGTTTCAGCAATTAATCTTAAAGTCCTGTATGTAATTTGACTGGCAATCCCTCAATACAATCATTGGTTTTTTTTGGCACCTGTGGGTACTCACTTCTGGTTCCAAAGTCCATGAGTTTTAATTGTTTGATTAGCGATACTGCAATGAATGGTATCCACACTGCTGCTACATTCCCCCCCCCCCGTAGACCAAACCGTGGGAAAATTACCTAAGCTTTTTGTGTGCTTGTACTGTAGGCTTTTGTATCTTTATGAATCAAAACTATGACTGTTTCACATAATATGTGCTCCTGAAATCCTGAGGAAAGAAACAAAGAACAATCCATGTTGAGGGTACAATCCATCCATGTTGGGGGTATCTGGAATGCTGACATGAAGAGTTTTGGCCTTAACCGTTAACTGCCTCAGTTCTCCACCCAACCCATTAAAGCATAATACAATATAATTTTTCATCCTGGGGGAAATTGTCTGTGTTTCCCATTTAGCATTCCGGGAACTTTCCCCCTCTTATAACAGAGCTAATTGTTTAAATTAAGGCTCTAACTGCTGTTACAGGTGGACAGCTTGGTCCCCCAAATGCACTGGTAATACTGGCATTTTCCCCACCATGCATATGACTTTTACCCTGTCTCAGTAAGAAAAAGTGAAAAGAGTGATACAGTCTGAGACTTTCCATGGGTTTTTGTCTCTTTCACAAGATTTGGTTTATTTCTTCTCTTGGTTTGTTCTGGAAATTGAAGAGGGTGGAACATATTTCCTCCTGTCCCAGTCAAATGTTTAGAGAAATTATCCCCTTCTCTAGCATCACCCTCAGTCCCTCAAAAGACATCATTGTGTTGCAGTCTGCCTTGGAGGTACAATTTGTGCGGTGGAAAAACAAAAAACCTGATTTGGGGTATCCTGAGACATTTTTTTTCTCCCGAGAAAATCCATAACTGGAATCCAAATTAAAGAAATCAACCGTAACCTGCTTATCTTGTGGCACATCAGATGTAACAATTTATTGATCTTAGCCAAGTGTAAAAACACACCACAAGACTACTTACCAAATTCAAAAACTCAGTTGATTTTTTACTTTAAGATATGATCCATGACAAATTCAATCTTGATGTTGCTCTGATTTTTTTATTTAGCTTATTGTTCTATCAAGTTCACATCCCATGAGACAGTCTAACTGTAACAATGTAGTATTTCCACATTGCCCCTTATAGCAGAGTTTTAATTTGTGTTTTATTAATTAAAATTTATTTTGAAAATAAGCATCTGGCAAGCCACCTTATTCTTCTGTTGCAAACTGGAACTTTACTCTGCTGCAGTTAAAAGAAATAAATGCTGATTTCTTATTCTGAAGTCCTCGACTTATGAACGGCCCTAGTTGCGAACGTTTCGGGTTACGAATCCGATCTCATAGGGTTCTATAGACCCTACTTGCGAACGCGGATTTGAGTTACGAACCAAAAAAGGGGGGGAAAAGGGGGAATCTGCCCCTAGTGGTAGGAACAGGATTTGAGTTACGAACCAAAAAAGGGGGGAGGGGGAATCTGCCCCTAGTGGTAGGAACGGTTTAAGCAGCTTTGCATTAGTTCCTATGGGAACGAATGCTTCAACTTGCGAACCGCCCCTTGACTTAAGAACCAAAACAGCCAGAACGGATTAAATGGTTTTCAGTGCATTCCTATGGGAAAATTGGTTTCGACTTACGAACTTTTCAAGTTACAAATGGACTTCCAGAACGGATTAAGTTCATAACTCGAGGGCCCACTGTAGTTTAATCAGTGATATGGTAATGAATACTATCAACTTAACCTCTTTAGAATTCTAATCTCCTTTTATACACACTGAGAGCTGTGGGAAAAGGGTGTTTTGTACACACAACCTGGTGGTTGAATACACACAGCAAGAACATATTGTTATACTGTACTAGCCTTCTCCAGCCTGGGCCCTTCTAGCTGTGTTGAATAAAATTCCCCAACCACCCTTGCATTGACATTTGTGACATTTCTGTGACCCTAATCCATCTCATTGTTTTAGACGTTGGGAGTTCGATTCCCCACTGTGCTTCTTGTGAGTAGAGCCAGCCTGGGTGGCCTTGGGCAAGCTGCACAGTCCCAGGGGCGCCCCCCTGAGGAAGGAAATGGTAAACCACTTCTGAATATTCTATACTTGGGAAACCATGAAAAAGGTCCCCATAAGTCAAAATGGACTTGGAACGTGATTTTTACTGTTATTAATTCAGCTGTTATCAAATTCTGATTTTTAATATTTTACTTACAACCACTCAGATTTTTTTTCTTTTGTTTTCCTTTCTTCCGATATTTTTTGCTTTGAACTAATTATTCCCTTGCCAGGAAATGGGTCATAGAAGCTTTACCACAATACTGTACAGCAGTGGTCACCAAACTTGGGCCTCCAGATGTTCTTGGACTACAACTCCCAGAAATCCTTGCTAGCAGAGGTGGTGGTGAAGGCTTCTGGGAGTTGTAGTCCATGAACATCTGGAGGCCCAAGGTTGGAGACTACTGCTGTACAGTACTTAACCTTTGCTTCTTACACTGGGGTGCCCTCTAGTGGCCAATAAAAATCTCCAAATCTTCACCAAGGTGACTTCTCCCACGCTTTCAGGAGGCAACTATGTTAGCCATTTATCCCACAATCTATGTTGTATTCAGCAGAGATGAATTCTAATTAAGAACTGTTGACAATGTGACATAAAGTTCCCTGCAGAGCCCTCGTGCAATCACCTTTTTTGAGGGGGGTCGTATTTCTTTGTTCAGCTAGCAAGGGTTGTTTAAATTTGCCCCAATGGGGCTGACCTCACTTGCGTCTGTATTCAGCCAGTGAAATCACCTGATCTGATGCAAACGGACACTTGCAGGGGGTGTCAGTTCCTCTCAACGAATTGCCCCTAGTTTCTACACAATGTTTCTATTGAGCGCTTGTACAGAATTTCACTAGGGCATACTGAAGAACTAAATAAACAAAAAGAGAGAGAGAGCTGGAAATTAGCACCTTGTTAGTACCTTAAGGTGGCTTCTGCTGCTGGAGCTCCATGCAAACAGAGCTCTCTGCCCTGCAAATTGTTGTCTGGGTGGCTGCAGCAATTCACCTCAGGAAACCCTATTTGATAAGCTGCAAATACACAGTGGATCAAACTGTATTTTCCCGGCTGTATAGCCATTCCCTTGTTCTTGATTTCTGTGCTTCCATAAGTTGGATCGCCCCTGCTTTTTCTGCTGCTCTCGCATATCGTGCAGTGGGACCAGTGAGAGCATATTCATTCAATACCCATGCCACGTTTACCTCTGGCAAGGCCAGAACAAACACCCTGCTCCACCTGACTTTGAACCTGAGGCAAATAACTTCCTGACCATTTGGTCCCAGCGTTTCCAAGTTCTCTTCATGACAAGTGCAAAAAGTTTCAACTGCTTTTATCTGATGGTTTTTCAAAGTACAGAAGGATAATTGATTAACCAACATTTTATCAAGTACTAAGTTCACTCACTGCTAATGTTCCTTCCTCCTTCCTCCCCCTCCCCCCACAACCACTCGTAATCAAGAGTTTCAAAGGAGGACTCTGGCTCAATTCAGTGAAGCCCAACAGACTGTGAATGTACTGAATGGGCATCTCATGCTGTGTGTCATAATCCTATTTGCACAGAGGTTGCCTTGGGTTGGAGAGGAGATCCTTTCCCCCCCCTTTTTTTTCATTTTCCATTGAGTCAGGGAAGATCGTAGGAAACAGGAATTTGGAACAAGGTAAGGGATAAATCGAAATACAGAATGTGGCAGAGAACAATTTATATTGTTATTGCTTTTACCTATATGATTTCTTGCAAGTTTGTTCTACACTAATCTTGCCATAAAGTGAGATCACACTAACAAGTGAGATCACACACATAAAGTGAGACACGCTAATCTTGCCAGAAAGTGAGGAGGAATGAAAGAACCTCGTAATGAGGGTGAAAGAGGAGAGCACAAAAAATGGTCTGAAACTCACCATTAAAAAAACTAAGACCGTGGCCTCTGGTCCCATCACCTCCTGGCAAATAGAAGGGGAAGATATGGAGGCAGCGACAGATTTTACTTTCCTGGGCTCCATGATCACTGCAGAAGACGCCAGATCACCAAAGAAGACGCCTGTTTCTTTGGAGGAAAGCTATGACAAACCTAGACTACATCTTAAAAAACAGACATCATCTTGTCGACAAAGGTCCGCATATTCAAAGCTATGGTTTTTCCAGCAGCGATGTATGGAAGTGAGAGTTGGGCCATAAAGAAGGCTGACCACTGAAGAATTGATGCTTTTGAACTGTGGTGCTGGAGGAGACTCTTGAGAGTCCCCTGGACTGCAAGGAGAACAAACCTATCCATTCTAAAGGAAATCAACCCCGAGTGTTCACTGGAAGGACAAATCCTGAAGCTGAGGCTCCAATCCTTTGGCCATCTCATGAGAAGAGAAGACTCCCTGAAAAAGACCTTGATGTTGGGAAAGTGTGAGGGCAAGAGGAGAAGGGGGATGACAGAGGACGAGATGGTTGGACAGTGTCATCAAAGCTACCAACAAACCAGAAATAGACCTTACACTTACACATGAGTTAATTTACCTGGCTTACTAGTGATTAAGCTGGTAGCAGCAATAGTTGGCAGAGGACACTGGCAGCATGTGGGAAAAGCACTGAGGTGAAGGTTGGGGAGACAGAAGAGATGTAACTCCCCTTTTTCCTGCCTTTCTCCTCAGCCTGGGCTCTGCTGGGGCTGCCATGCCCTGTGAGGGCACAAGCTATGGAGCCAGCTGCTGGATAGCTCAATGGTCTGGGCATCTGATTGCAGTCAGAAGTTAGGAGTTCAGTTTCCCACTGTGCTTCCTTGACAGGGGCTGGACTCGATTATTTTATTTTATTTAAAATATTTTTAACCTGTCTTTCTCCTTAAAAAGGACCATAGGCAGCTTACATCATTGAAAGACAATATTTAAAACTGAAAACAATGAGTATACAATGGTGTTTTGCATCCTTAAATCCAATATATATATATATTGGTTTTAAGGATGCAAAACACCATTGTATACTTTAAAATATAATTACCTGTATACAGTCAACCCTTGACTTACAAACTTAATCCGTTCCGGAAGGAAGTTTGTAAGTCAAATCAGCATTTCCCGTAGGAATGTAATATATAATTTAAAATCTCTAGGGTCCTTTCCAGCTCTGCAGTTCTAAGATTATTATCTTAGGGAGTTTCTCTGCGCTTCCTTTTTGATGTCACAGTGTACCTAATATCTCACAGAGATGTATCAACTAATGCCACCCCCACCTCTATTTGAGTGCAAGCAAACCATCCACACAGGCTACACAACACACAAATTAGGATTGTGGCTAATGGGACCAAAATTTAAAAAAAAAACTAAACCAGAAGCCCCTAGCTCTGTCTCTGAAAGCAGAAGAGCAGCTCTTAAAGGGGCAGGATGGATCGATCTAAGTAGGGACACATGGGGATGTCATAATTTAGTTGGGGTGGGGGTAGTAGAAAGGCCCAAAAAGTCTGAGAAAGGATGTTTTTAGCTTTGCTTAAGATACTGCTGAGTCCATCAGGAAGTCAGGTCCAACAGTACTGTGGTTGGCATACCAAGGGGGGCAGTTAACAGCCTTGTGGTACGAAGGTAAACCCTTACAATAAATGGAGTGTTGTTCTGCATCTCTGAAAGCCAACGTTCTTGAAGTATTAACAATGCAAATAATAGAAACATGGGTGACAATGCAACCCAGCTGTAATGAAAGACTGACATCACATCCGGTAAAGACATTCATCTCTTGATAAGGAAATTATGACGTATCTTCCAAAACTGGCTTGCTAGGACAAAAGACTGGGAAACCTAAAATGAAATGCTAGCTTCAAGATACACAGAAGTTTCACATTCAGGTGCTTTGATCTACTTTCTCCCCGAGCAAATAATGTGCTGCCGTAACCTGACCATGGTGAAGAACCAGAATGCAGACATGAACAGTTGTTTAACCAACATTTAATATGACTTGGGAAAACATCGCAGTCAGAATCTCTGTAGCTGGTCCATACTTTAGGAACTTTCTCTTCAGTCATGGAAGACTCACTAGAGGTGGAGTTGGCCCATATTTTGTTGATATCATAAATGTGTCAGCATCTAATACAAAAACCAACAGTACTGAACTCACTCCTTTCTTGCCCTTTCTGGAAAAGTCCTGAGGTAGTTGACTAGTGATACACATTTGTAGATATGGAACAGCTAAGTTGCTCTGCTAGTAATTATATGCTGTATATACATACCTGAGGTCTACATAAGAATAAGTATGGTAATGAGGTTAAGTGAGGGGGAACTTGTCACTGCCATAATTTTTGGTGTTTCTGTAGTCTGAGCTTTTGCCTTCATTTTGTGAAAGATGGGTGTCCATGGTGAGCAGTGTAGCTTCTTACTTGAAGGTTGATGCATAGTGCTTCTAACGCAGCTTCCACAGAAGCAGCCTTCATTTATGCAGTGTACTGACATCTGATCTTGAAAACGATCTTCAGACCAATTTTGGGGTTGGCTTCTACCCATACCTTCCTTGTTTACACCTGGTCTGGCATGGGTGCTTTTAAATGCTGATGTTGACAGAAATAAGAGTGCACTCTCATGGAAAAGGATTCAGTTTTTCCTATTTCTCAGGGTGCTTTGAGATTCCTTATGTTTTGGCCTTTTTTTAGCAGTTTTGGTGGCTCAAGAAATCATGTGATTTTTTTCTTGTTTTCTGTTACATACCTTTATTAAAAAAATATTTGAAAAGCATATGGAAAACACTGCAATAAATTGACGTGAAAATAAACAAAACCCCACTTCAGAACCCAGTGCTATCCCTCTTCCTAGAGTAGTTTCACTTTCTTTATCCTTGTATTTCATACCACCCCATTTCTCTCTAGAAATCTTTTCCTGGTGTCTACCCCTTCCCTTTCAGAGTATTGCATATCAAGCTGCAGCTTTTCCAGATGCTGATCATGTTTATCTGAAAAGTATCATAAAGGGTGTTCGCTCATGATGTTACTGGCAGGCTTTAACTGAAAAACAGGAAACCACGGTGGTTGCAAACTGCCAGCGTGATGACAATACAGTGAAAAACAGGACTTTTCACAGAGAGACACATATGCATTGGACAATTCCTAACCAAGGTAAGTGGATTAATCCTCACACCCTACCTATGTGAATTTCACCAATATGTTCTTCTCTCTTTCCATCCCCTCCCTCCCTCTCTCCCTCTCTCTCTCAGAGAATATTTCTGATCAGTTGAAGAAGAATGGTTGAAACCAACTTTTAGAACAGAGCTAAAAATGGAGCTACAGTTTCTGTTTCCCTTGCAGTCGATTGTGCAAGAGCAGAATTTCAAGTGACCTCTATGGGAAGCAGCCTGAAATTGTTTTTATCATATGGGCAATCTGTTCCTTGCATTATCATCATCATCATCATCATCAAGTGCCTTCAAGTCAATTCTGTGACCCTTTTCAGGATTTTCCAGGAAAGGAGTACGCAGAAGTGGTTATCAAGTCAATTCTGACTTTTAGTGACCCTTTTCAGGATTTTCCAGGAAAAGAGTACGCAGAAGTGGTTAACCTTCCCTTCCTCTGGGCTTGCCCTGGGATTGTGCAGCTTGCTTAAGGCCACACAGGCTGGCAGTATTCACAGGAGGCACAGTGGGGGAATCAGACTCCCAGCCCAAACTACTGAGCTATCTAGACACCTTCCATTTGCTTGCAACACTTGGTAAAAGTTCTTCCTTTTTGGAGGAAAAATATTATTTCCATGAAACAGCTATATTGATAAGATTGAAACTTAGATTCAAGCAATGTCTTGAATCTAAGTTCAATCTAAAGCAATGTCTTGAATCTAAGGTCTTGTGTATCTCAGATCCTTATATCGCAGTGGGACGCTATTTATGGCTTTGTTTGCATTTTTTTTATGTTGCAGGCAAGTTGGTCTGAAAGACTTGTGTGGCTGGAAGGAAAATATATTTGCCCTAAGGAGTGATCCAAGTCTCAAAAGGTTTTACTTCTGATTTTGGCATTATGCTACAAATGCAGAAATGTACTCAAAATGTCCTTATTTTATCAGTTTGTGGCTGACCGAACCTCTGCAAAGATGATCTAATGAATTCTATGCCTGAAATCTACACAATCTCTCAACACAGTTAAATTATCTACTGTCAGAACTACATCCTGTCCAGTCTTAATAAACATTTCAGCTCCATTGTTTTTGAAATCATGGCTTCAGCGCAGAAACCCTCTGCTATTATACTGAAGGCTAGAAGGAACTTAACAAAAGCTCTTCGAGAAGACCTAGAGTTGACTTTGAATGTAGCAAAATACTACCCATTTCTCACTCGGAATGAGTTCTCCTCCTTGAGGCAGATAAAGGATCCACACAAGTGCACAGAAATTCTGATCGACACAGTGCTGCGGAAGGGAGAATCAGCCCACAGACAATTCCTTGATTGCTTGGAAAAGCTGAGGCACGTCTTCCCACGTTTGCAGCCCATTTCTGACTATTTTGAAGATGGTGAGTGATGCTTTCTAAGATGCTGGTGGGGTGCAGTCTTTTTCTTCCCAAGTGATGCTTCCAGATGGGTGGCTCTGAACCGCGGTTTGTCTGCCTTCCGTGAAAAGTGCAGCTGATTTTCTGCTGTAGTGGAATATTGCGTTTTAAGGGAATATACATTTTTATCGACTCCATTTGTCTTCACCAGTATCTCTGATGAAGCTGATGGGGAAGTCTCAGTATACCGGAGCAGTCGGTTGAAATTCAACATATATTCACTATAACCTGTGCTAGGGGTATTGTCTTACTTTATCTCATTATTGTTACAATTTTTTTAAATGGCATTACAAATCTTTGCTTGGTATTTAAAGGTAGGCAACTGAAGTATCACTGGAATGTTACATTGGTAAAACACCAGGGTGTTTATTTTAAAAATATTTTAGAAACTCTGGTCACTATCGGTTTTCCTACATAATCAATGGCAGTAACCAGATATATGTTTTCATTATATTTTTAAACATGTTGTAGTAGGGAAGGATGACGTGAGGCCCATAGACAATACAGTGAATGTGTACTGAGCTGCAATATGTCCTTAAATCATTACTTGCACATTTAAGGTTAGCTTTTTTAGTAAACAATATTTTACAGTCTAACTTTTAAAAAAGGAGAATTATTTGGTGGAGGGGGTGATGCTGCTCCGCTTTCCAGGGCAGCACAACAGGTGGAATTAAAGAAAACAGAACTTGCAGTATGTGTCTTGTCAAATTGTTCTGCACACACAGTGCCAAGAAGACTGATAACCAGCAACTAAATAGGGAATGCACGGTTCGTATATGGTTCTCATGAAATAAGACTGGCAAAAGTGTTCATGTGTTAAATTTAATTTAAAAAAAAATCAAAGGCTTCCTGTCTGCCTGCTCCTCCTTTCTTTTAATGTCTCATTTTATTTTTGCAATTTTATTTTATTACTTCTTGTTTCACCACCGTGCCTTGTTTTCCTTTTCACTATTGTATTATAGGATTGACAGTCTGGGATCAGGGAGCTGGGATTTATACTGAGCCGTTGCTTGCAGAGGATGAAGAAGATCCTTGGGAAATGGTCATGTGTGACAGGAACTCTACTGAAGAGGTAGGGATCTGTCTGTCTGTGGGTCAGTTAAGTTTGCCTTCGATCCCTGCATCGGAAAAGGCAGGACAGAAACAAAAATACAGCAACAACAAATATCCGGATGCCTTGATTGTTGACCATGCTTTAGATTTCCCACAACACCTCAAAGCGACACTACATGGAGCACATTGTGTGCAATTAAAGTTGTGGGCTTGAGCTAACCACTCAGTATGCTTCAGTACCAGATCAAGGAAATGGCTTTGAAGAGAGGATGAATCAGTGACACACATAGAGTTTCAACTTTTTGTCACTTTCCTTTTAGTCTGTATGTCGATAGGAATGTCAGTCTTTGCATGTCTTGTTCTTAGACAGAGGAACAAGGAATTTCAAAATTTTCTTCATCCCACGAGAGTTTTGTTGCTCTCTCAATAGAGAAGAGAGCAGGATCAAGGCAGATGGATTAGTATGCCATGGTGTGCATACTACCAGGTGAGGCTATGGTTTAGCCCTTTAAATTCAGCCATTCCCAGACTTTGAGAGGGATTGTAGGCTTTGGAGTGCCCAGAGGTTTGTGGCAGTGCTCATGTTGGCTCTGGTTCTTCCAATGTGATATCCATTTGGGCCCTAACTTTTTTCTGCTTACCTGCTTGTTTCTGGTTTTGATCCTGCTGGGCCTGTTTACACAAGCGGCTACTACCGTATTTTTCCCATGTATAAGACTATACGTTTGTCTAACAGCTTTAGACTAAAAATTGAGGGTTGTCTTATATACGGAAGTAAGCTGAGGAGAGAAAAAACAAGTGGAGGGGAAAGCAGGGATCAAAGCGATCCTGCAGGGTTTTGATCCCTGCTGTCCCCTCCACTTGCTAAGCCTTAGCAAAAGGAAAGTAGGGGTTAAAGCGCTGCAGGATGGCTTTGATCCTTGCCTTCCCCTCTGCTTACTAAGTCCCATGGGACTTAGCCAGTGTAGGGTGAAAGGATCAAAGCGATTCTGCACTGCTTTGATCCCTTTCCCCCTACACTTGCTAAGCCCCACTTGGATTTCTTAATTTTGGGTTAGAAAAATGGGGGCACCTTATACATGGTGGAGTCTTATACACAGAAAAATGCAGTAACTAGGAGTAAGATATGTTTCGTTTGTTTGCAGGATCTTCCTGAAAAAGTCAAACCGGAGGTGATTTGGAGTAGTTCACAAACCAACCAAAAATCTTTCAGGTGAGCCTAACAGCCTGCCTTATTCTAGACAACAAGCTGGGATTTATGTAATGAGGAAGTGCTAAAGAAGGGGGGAAAGTTTAAACAAGAAAGGTGGACCATGTGACACATCAAATAGTTTTGGACTGGAACTTGTCCTTTGTCTTCAGGGCATCTACAGCGTTCTCTCTGCCAGGGCTACGGTTGTGCTGCATGGCCAGTGAAAAGGACTGACAGATGAATGAGTTGGTTGGTTGGGATTTCAGTGCCAGGTGTGAAAACAAAGGAGGTGTAGAAATATGTCAGACAAAGTTAAAATATAGAAAAACAGCCAGTCTTTGACTTTGTTTATAATACAACTTTAATAACCAACCAATAAATGCAGAGGAGCAAATGCATAGCTGTAGAAGAATAAATAGAAGGTTGAAGCACAATAAGAGAAACTGTATGGATGAGGTGAAAAAGCCATGCCAATGCGGTCACATATAGTGAAGTATAATCGAAGCATTTCTAAATACAGAGTAAAGGATGCTGAATACCCATCAGGTGTATCATGATCATGATCATAATATACCAGCTGGGTATCATGAACACGATCTTCATAAATTATGTTCCTTGTAACTCAAGGTGGCATAGTTAGGGCTAAATCCAATTGTTAATGCAGACTAGAGTAGACCCAATGACTAAAATCTTGTTGCTCAGCATAGTAAATTGCTCCAAAGTAGGCACATTGAAACAATGTGTAATTAGTCTTTCTTTCATTATTTGTATGAAAATACTGCACAATCCAGCCATTCACATAAACCAAAATAAATAATAAAAAGAAGTCCTCTTTCTGCCCCCCCCAAAATGCACATGTACGTAGCTGTATGTCATGTAAATGAATATTTTAAAAGCAATTTCAAGCATGGTAAACCTGATGCCAAAACAGGAGTATTATGATATATAGTCAGGACCTAAGATGCAGTTACAGTAAGCCCATTTGAATCAACGGAACTTACATAGGAGATGACTCACCAAATCCCCAATGATTCAGTGGGCCTCCTCTAATGATATTTACTACACTAATCAACAGGATTTTGACCATTGAATCAAAAAGTGTTACATAAATATTAACAATTTTTATTCCTTCAGTTGGTCTAAGAATTGCAGTCAGCCTGTGAGATTTCCAAATGGCCTTCCATCCCAACACTAATCAGGCCCAGACCTTTAAGAGTCAACAAATTCCTTTGACATATAGCTTTGGTTAATTCTCTCTAGACTGTTTGATGGATTGCTCATTGATTCTTCATAAGATGTGCATGTTTTGAAGCCTATGTGTGTCTTCAAAAACCCATCAAACAGGAAATACCACAAGCTGTATCTTTCAGTTCCATTCTGCTCTTGTCGCTTTCAGGCTGCAGGCTGGTGAGAGGAGTTCTTTCCGCTGTGCTTATACCAATCTTGCCTTTGACACCAAAGAAGATGTAACCCTAACATACCAGTTTGATTCATGGCCTAAAAACCTGAATGAAGGAAAGACAGAAGAGTTGAGTGTCGCTGGACCATTGCTTATAATTGAAGCAGATTCGAAAGAGGCTGTAACAGCCATTCACTTCCCACACTTCTTGTGTCTTTCAGGTATGTTAGGACATGGTTCCAAGAGTGTATCCATTATAGCACAAATCCAAATCAAGAATTACTGAATCAAGAACAACTGCCATGTGATAAGTGCATTTTCAGGGCCAGCCCTGCCATTAGACAAGGCGATGGCACTGCCTCATAGAGCAGGTTTTGTTTCACGTGAAATGAGAGCAAATTGGAAGTTGCCCGACTTGTTACTTTTACAACAGTAAATTTTCCGGTTGCAGGGTTATTACAAAGTTGTATAGGGTTACCAAATCTTGATGGGTAAATTACAGTTACAGTGGCAGATATCCACAAAGACCTCTCATTCAATCAACAAAATACAGTGGTGCCTCACTAGACAGTTATCCCACATGACAGTTTTTTCGCTAGACATTGACTTTTTGCATTCGCTATAGCGATTCGCAAAACAGTGATTCCTATGGGGGAATCTCACTGCACAATGTTTGGTCCCTGCTTCGCAAACCAATTTTCGCTAGACAACGATTTTGACAGCTCCCTCCGTGCTCACAAAACGGGTGTTTTCGGGACCTAAGCTTCGCAAGATAGCAATTTAAACAGCTGACTGGTGGTTCGCAAAGCGGCTTTCCTATGGCCATTCTTCACTAGACAACGACGATTCTGCCCCATTGGAACACATTAAACAAGTTTCAATGCATTCCAATGGGGAAATGCTTTTCACTAGACAATGATTGTGCTAAACAGCGATTTCAGTGGAATGGATTATCGTCTAGCGAGGCACCACTGTATTGTGAAATGTGGACTCCGTGCCCTGTAGCATAGGATGTATGCAAACCAGAATGTTGGAAGTCACTGTAGACCAGTGGATCTTCCCAATAGGCCAGGAGTGATCATCTCTAAATGTTTTAGAATGATTATGACTAGCACCACCCTTGGTTGTCTTGAGTGAGATAGATGGAAGCTTTAACTCAAAACTTCTCGACTCAAACTGAATTGCTCATCCCATCTGGAACAGATCCCTTGAAATTATAGGATACATATGTGCTGATCAAGCAGCTGCTTCAGTAGGCCTGTTTTAGCATGGACTAGTACTGTAAATGGATTTAGGTTCTAGAGATTGCTTTCCACTGCACAGAAATGGATTTCTGCAATGAATATCATAGGTAAAAAGGAGTGCAAAAGAGAAATATCTCGCAAAAACAGTATCCTGTTAAGTCTGCAAATATATAAGCCTACTGGTTGTTGTGGGTTTTTCTGGCTCTTTGGCCGTGTTCTGAAGGTTGTTCTTCCTAACGTTTCACCAGTCTCTGTGACCGGCATCTTCAGAGAACAGGAGCAGCACTCTGTGCTCTGTTGCAGTTTCTTTGGGAGTTGAGTATTTATAGCTGTGGGATCAGCTTTTGTCCTTTTCAGGAGATGGGTAATTATGGTGATCAGTGTGTTTTTGTTGTGGGTGTATTGTTGTGATAAGGAGGAGAGATTATCTGTCACTGTGATTGATGGGTGTCGTTAGCTGATCTTTTGTCTAGATTATACCTCTTTTGGAACAGAATCCTTTCCTCTAATTCTTTAAGAAGTGTCACATGCATGAATGACTGTGTTATTTTTCTTCTTATGGTGATGATGATTTAATATCCAGTAAACAAATTAATTAGATGACCCAGTTCTAATCGTCTTTCCATTTTCTGTTCTTCTTTTTTTGCTAGTTTCAGATACCACCGTCTAGCATTAGTGTGACATATAAATTGTACGATTTGAGTGTAACAATCAGCCATCAAACAGACAATCAAGATATGGAAAAGGTTGGGGAGATTGGCATCTTCCCACTCGTGGCCTGGTAGCATTCTCACCACGCACAGTGGGTGTGAACTTCCTGGAAGAGAATGAACTAGAGCTCTTCATAATGAAATACTCTCCAGGGTGATCATATCCGGCTGCTTACTTTGGTCCATGTTTCCTTTGCTCTCCTTTGCCAGGGGAAGAAAACTCCAAAGTTCGAATTGCATATCTTGTCAGAGGGAAGGTGAGTCTGGAGAAACCAGACAGTGTGGGACCATCTCACGTAGAGGTGAAGAACCCTAAGTATGGTCCAGGTGGAGTTGTTTTGGAAAAGTGTTCACATCAGCAAGAAATAAAGGTCCATGCTGTGGCACTTCTGTACCAAGTCCTTTCGACCTCCCGCCCAACATTCCATCTGTATCTGCTCCCCAATGATCCTTCTCGGAGGAAGGTAATTAAGCACACTATAAATACTCAGATCACTCTCATACCATTTCTGACAAAGTTCCTTCCAGTCACCTATAGTTTTGAAAAATAGCTTCCCCTTGGTCTGAAACAGTTCAAGAGGAACCCAAAATAATGCATCCCTGAACAATTTAGAGGGTATAAAATATCTGATTGTGTAGGTTTGGGGTGGGTGAGGTATGGGGTGGCCCTCCAGGATCCAGTATTTGACACCAACTGCAAGTGGATCTCCAGTTTTTCAGGTGATGTTTCTTTAGCACTGTCTGGAGATACCGGAACTTGAACCTGGAGCCGTCTGCATTCAAAACAGGTACTCCACCACAGAGGACAGAACGACAGCTTCAGACACAGATAGCCCCAATTCATTTTTTTAAAAAAAGATTGACAATGATGAAGATAACGATGATAAAGAGTTTGAGTGACTTCCTCCATTAATACAGGAATGGGTTGCACATCTACTTGAATTTGGTGTGTGAAAGCTTAAAACCACAGAGCCACGTGTGAGTCTGCAGAAATGAGAATTAGTTTGGACTAGCAGAGCTACTGGAGAAAAGGGCTTTGTCCTTTTTGTGGAATTAATAATGTTAGCTTTTTAATCGCTACCTGGGTTTACATCTCCTTGTGTGGTGATAGCTCAGACTGTCCAACACATGTTGCTTGGATCTGTTATCCAGTGTGCTGTTGGCCAATTGTCGTCCTAGGTATGTCATGTTTCATCAGTGACCTGTGGAGTCTCATTATATGCTGTAGTAGGATCCAGGAAGTGGCATTGTGGCAAGTAAAAAGGGCCTGGATTTTCAACAGTTCGGCATTTCTTCTAGTGTTGGAAGTTAAGTACCTGCTGGTCCACAAGGAAAAATAAAAGACCAAGTTGGATTAAAAAAAACTTTATTAGGAGCCCTAAAATGTGATACAAGCGATGCAAAGGTGCTATGATATTTCACATTCTTCCTCAGCCCTGATAGCTACGACATTAGAAGGAAAGCCATAAAAATGTGAAAAATCACACTGGATGTGTTGGTTGTTGTGTATTTGTCTGCAACTGCAAGGTGTTGAGGACAGAGCTGTTGCCGTATCAATTGACACCTTCCGGTCAAAGACTGTAAATGATGTCTCTCCACTCCCCACTGACCACACACACGGCTGAGTCTTGGGCAACTGCTTCAGGAAAGTGGTAATTAAAAATGCTATCAAATGCTACATAATTGACTTTGTTGCCCTTCCCAGGCTGTCCATGAAAATGAACTGACCAGCCGTTCAAAGAGAGTGCAGAAACCCCCGGAGACAGCTAAGCCTCTGGTGTTTGGCTCTTCCTTCTTTGTACGGGGATCCCTTGAGGTTGAAGTCTGCCCCAAGGTGAGCAGATCTAAAATAGTTCATGTAGGGAACTCACAGTCTGAGTTCCATGAAAGGGAGCAACTCAGCCTAGGGTAAGATTTGCTTACCTCCTGTGATAGAGGGCCTAGGTGGGAAATCTGAGAGCAACACAGCGTTCTTCTGTTTGCCTCTTTGCCACAGGAACTGAAGTTCAGAAACCTGGATGCTAGTATGGAGCAGCAGTACCTTGAAGTGTATGCTGAGAGCATGGAAGACAAACTAGATCTCAGTCTGGTAGAAAAAACTGAGGATGAAGTCATCTGGGAAGCATGTGTGAGAAGAGGTGAGTCTTGATAGGAGGAAGACCTCACTACTGGACGGAAGCATGGAAATCTGGATTAATTAGAGCATCCTGGGCACCTTCCTTCCTTGACATCTTCATTTCTGCTCTCTTTCAGATGACTTGACGCCTTCCAGTTTTTTCTCAGGGCAAGGTCAGTAGAGATGGAAAGGCCCATAATATTTTAAAATTTCCTGGGCTGGGTCTCAGGTCATCTGTCTTTTTCTTGTTCCAGTGATGGGCAGTGCACCAAAGACCATCCGTGACCACCTGGAGTATATCCTTGAGGACATGGAAAAAACTGATCTCAAAAGGTTCAAGAACAAACTGAGTGAGTTTCCCATTAAGCAAGGCTTCGACAACATCCCAAGCGGGAGGCTGGAAGAAGCTGATGCCCAGGATCTCAGTAAACTGCTCACCAGCTTCTACACAGAGGCTTACGCGGTGGAGGTGACATTTGAAGTGCTGGATGCCATCAACCTTAAGCAGCAGGCAGAAAAGCTTCTCCATCTCACTGGATTTGGTAAGGAAAGGGAAAAGCCGAGGGAAACTCGGGGAAGGGAGTTTTGGCAGGTCCAAGCAACCTCTTTCTTGGGGCAGAAGAAAAAATTATTTGGAAGGGTTCCACTGGAGTGGACATCCTTCTTACGATTGTGATGTATTTGGGCTAGAGATGGGCATGAGCTGCAACCATCAAGGTTTACTCTGGTTACAGACCTGTTTGCACTACCGTAGGCCCCCTTTAGGGACATGGTGGCACTATTGGTTAAACCACAGAAGCCTCTGTGCTGCAAGGTCAGAAGACCAGCCGTCGTAAGATCGAATCCACGCGACGGAGTGAACTCCCGTCGCTTGTCCCAGCTCTTGCCAACCTAGTAGTTTGAAGGCATGTAAAAATGTGAGTCGATAAATAGGTACCACCTCGGTGGGAAGGTAAAGGCGTTCCGTGTCTAGTCACGCTGGCCATGTGACCACGGAAACTGTCTATGGACAAACGCTGGCTCTATGGCTTGGAAACGGGGATGGGCATCGAGCCCTAGAGTCGGACACGACTAGACTAAATGTCAAGGGGAAGCTTTACCTTTAGGCCCCCATTGGAAAGAGGAAGTTCAAGTTAAATAGGTTAATAAAGTTGTGGCCAGAGTTACCCCATGTACTGTTTGTCTCATTATTCTAGGCTGGGCAGGCAAGGTTTATTGTATCAATGGGGTACATACCATATAATAAAAGGAAACGTATAGATCTCCTTATACACTGAGGAGCCCACTCCCCACCACCACCAGTCCTGCTAGGCATAGGGAGGTGCTGCACCAATGTTGTACTGCAGTCTCCCATGGCAGAAGGGCTATCTTCTGATATGGACAAACACAAATATTTATAGCCTAGGCTCCCTACAGTGAAACTGGCAGAATGACAGCTATCCTGCTCCAAAAAGAAAGGAAGATGTTATGTGTTGAATGGCACAAACTCCTTCTCTGCCGAAAAAGGTACGTTGACGTGAGCATAATGGGTTATCTGTTCTTATTGTCTCCATCTCTAATAGCAAAATCACCTTCATCTACCATACCCCACAGTAAAAGTGAGAGAAATGAAAGTGGACATACATCCCATTCCATGAAAGAGAAGAAAAAGACAGATGTTTTACCAGGATCATCCACCAAAAGGTAATTTCAGTATTTTAATTATAAACTGAGGGTGCAACTAAATGGCCCCATTATCCCAACTTGCATCAGTCACAGAAACTAATACCTGAAGTAATGGATTCAAATTATGAGAAAGGAGATTTCACCTAGACGTTAGAAAGAATTTCTTGACAGAAAGAGCTGTTCAACAGTGGAATGGACTGCCTTGGAAGATGGCGGGCTCTCCTTTATCAGATGTTTTAAAGCACAGTTTATGAGGCCATTTGTTAAAAGGTAAAGGTAAAGGTTCCCCTTGACAATTTTTGTCCAGTCGTGTTCGACTCTAGGGGGCGGTGCTCATCCCCGTTTCCAAGCCATAGAGCCAGTGTTTTGTCCCAAGACCATCTTCCGTGGTCACATGGCCAGTGCGACTTAGACACAGAATGCTGTTACCTTCCCACCGAGGTGGTCCCTATTGATCTACTTGCATTTGCATGCTTTCGAACCACTAGGTTGGCGGGAGCTGGGACAAGCGACGGGAGCTCACTCCATCGCGTGGGTTCGATCTTACGACTGCTGGTCTTCTGACCCTGCAGCACAGGCTTCTGCGGTTTAGCCCACAGCACCACCACGTCCCTGAGGGTGGCGCTGTGGGCTAAACCGCTGAACTTGTCTGTTGTGCCTTCTGAGAGGCCATTTGTTAGAAACCACTTATTAGGAATGTGTTAGCTATAGATTTTCTGCTTTAGTAGGGAGCTGGACTAGAAGACCCTTGGTCTCCCTTTCCAGCCCTACCATTCTATGAAAATTAATGTTACATCAACATAGGCCAAAAGCACAACACCTGCTAAAAGCACTGTAAAATTAATGGCCAGTGTCCTATTGAATAGTTTCATGTGCATGGACGCCCAACTGTGGAAGCTGCCAAGGCAGTCTGATGATGTACCAGTCATATGTGCCAGGCACATAACTAGCATTTGGTCAGCTTGTTGAAGAAGCTTCTGCAATAGGAGCTCCATGTACATAAATATTGAGCAGAATACTGGCCAATGACGTTATTATTGTTTGATTATTATACAGTTTTTCATGCCCTGTCTTAACACGAGAACTTGCAGTTCTAACACTAGAACATGCCTTGTGTTAACTCTAGAACTATTTTCTTCCTCAGCAGTTTTCCATGGTGAGCACTATCTGGACCTTTTGTCCATCCAAGGAATCAAATTATTGTAGCCTATGGTGTTCACCATAATGAGCTGACAGATAAATATAGGCTTTTAAGCATCCTGCACGCTGGAAACAGCCGAAATAAGCCACTGGAAGTAAGGAGAAGACAGAAATATGTAGCACACATAGAGAGAATGGCTGCAATTAGGACAGGCTCTCTCAATGAAGGCAACATACAGAGGAGATGACTCATTGGGTCCCCACTGATTCAGCGGGCCTACTCTAGTTGCAACTTACTTTTGGATTTCAGTCAGTGAGAGGAAAGGAAATCATAATCACAAAGCACTGTAGTCTCTAATTGCCATTCAAGGATTTTTTTTTTGTTCTGCATTTCCTGGTGAAGGATCATTATGGTCCAAAGGCATGGCATGGTGATATTTTTCTTTGTCTGCTCCCCCCCCCAGGTGGCCTATCAATGACAATTTCAGTAGTCCTAAAGGCCAATAGCTAAACTCACTCAATTTTTGAGTTGAAAGTAACTTAGGTGCTGATGGTGGTACATGATGAGAACCCAGGTTGTCCTGGATGTAGAAGTCACTAATATAAGCCCTGTTTAGAAGGATGAGAAAGGAGGTCTAGGGAACACCTTTGTTGAAGCTGCAGCCATAGTTCCCTGTTCCGAAGTAGATCGATTAACTGATTCAGTCTCGGGAACTGCCTGATAAATCTGTTAGGTTTCAACTCTCCCCTCTCTCCCCCACAACCCGTGGAATAAATAACCATTTCTGCCTTAGAGCACTGGAAGAAGTGACAGTGTCAGATGATGAGATGTTCAAAGGACGAAAAGAGTTAACTGACACCCCCCAGAAGGAGCAATACGATGTTGAAGGTGAGTTGCGTTCTTGATCTGCCATCACAGAGGAAGAAGAAGAGGATAAATGGAAAATTCCAAGGAGTCAAATCAAAGATGGTTGTTTATAATCCAGAAGTTGGGGAGTGGGGTTGAGGAACAGCTTGCCTGTTGTGCCTTCTGAGAAAGGGGCCAACCAAAATCAGCTGGGCTGTAAGGTGGCTGAGGGGGTTGTGTTCCCAGCCACTTGTGTCCCAGAGAGCCCCCACAGGAGGGACTAGCAAACCTCTTCTGAATATTTCCTATACAGAAATCTCTAGGAGGGTCACCAAGTCAGAATTTACTTGATGGCATAGAATTATTAACTCACTCTATCAGAATCCTTTATTGATTCAAACACTGTTGTGAGAAACTAGCGCAGTGAAGGCTACTGTTTCCATTAAATTAAAGCTCAATAGGAGCTATTTCCTTCAAATCAGTAGTTCTCACTGTGGGCTTGGTTCCCAGGGAAATGGCGTGGTAAGAAAGAATCGTTCCAGAAAGCTCCGGGAAGGAATAGATACCTCAGGCCGGTAGAGAGCATCTGTTCCCTCCCAAACGGAAGGATGAGGAGGGAAAAATCATAGTGGCACAGCACTTGCCTAAAATTCAATTCATTTTAATATATGGCAATATTTTAATAAGTAAAGCTTGGGTGGTTGTTCTGTTTGTTGAATTTAATCATGGTCATATTGACTTGGCAGCAGATGATTTTAACAGTGGCAGCATTTTTATCCCATCCCACGGCTTTCCCCTGACAAAATTGATCCCTAGGAAACCTGGATACAGTGGTGCCCCACATAGCGACGTTAATCTGTTCCGGATTAATCGTCGCTATCCGGAAACATCGCTATGCAGATGGAAAAACCCCATAGGAACGCATTAAACTCCATTTAATGCGTTCCTATGGGCCAAAAACTTACCGTTATGCGAAGATCCTCCATTGCGCCGCCATTTTCGCCGCCTTGGTAAGCGAGGAAATCGTGCGAAAATGCTTGCAGCGGCCATTTTGTGCACCCGGTGGCCATTTTCGAACCGACAATCAGCTGTTCTAAAAACATCGCAATGCGAAGATCGGTAAGCGAAATGCTTACCGATCACCGCAATGCGATGTTTACCTTATCTAAACATCGCAATGCAATCGCATTAGCGATCGCAAAAAACAGAATGCTATGCGGATTCATTGTTAAACGGTGCGCTCGTTAAGCGAGGCACCACTGTATCTTGTGGCGAGAATTTGAAATTCTTAATTTCCAAGCTGCCGCAGCTGATGTCATTGTCAGCCTTACACAGCATAAGTTACACTACTGATTTTCAGCTAGTTTGTCTTTTCCCTGAAAGGCTACTTTTCTACATGCCTGTCATTCTTCCTAAGAGCTAGATAGAATGACTGAAGTGTGACTGCACAGAATATGCAAGTACATGGAGGATGGAATGGAAAGGAGAAATAGCACCGGGAGCTAATGGAAAACTACCAAAGAGTCTGATCTACTCTATAGGGCACTGGATACCATTGATGTCAGTATATTTTTCTTCTCTCTCTGCAGGAAGAACAATAGCTGTTATAGACTTTCTGTGGACACTAAAGTTATCAAAATATAGAAGCAAGAAACTCACCCTGAGAGAGGTGCTGGAAATCAGTTCAAGATCTCTGAAGCATAATGCGCCTCAAAGCTTGGAGGACTTGCCGTGGCATTTTGTGAGAAAAGTCTTCACTCTGGATGTAACAGCCAGGAGCACAAAACTGGTGTGGGGAGAGTGGGATTATGGAGACACCAAGGGAAAAGAGAACAAACAGAGAGGGTGGGATGATAGAATGTCCTTATCTCGTTGGACGGCGGCTGAAGGTTCTGTGAACATTCTTGACCTCCTCTGTGCTGTCCTTCTTTGTTCAGACAGGATGCTTCAGCAGGAGATCTTCTCCAGGATGTCCCTGTGCCAGTTTGCTCTGCCTTTGCTCCTGCCCCCCTTAGAGAAACCAGAGTGCACCCTGATGCTCTGGGCCATGCGGGACATTGTGAAACAATGGACGCCCCATTCCCTGGCTGAAAGCAGAGGCTTTAGGGAGGAGACCCTGGTGCTGACACCCATGCCAACCATCTCCTTTGTGCGGATGGGGAGACCTAAGCTCTCCAAGTCCAAACTCCTGAATGGATTTCTCAGCTCCACCGAGCAGAACCACGATTTCTTTGTCCATCAAGACACAGAGGGCGGGAACATTCCTCGAGGGATTGCTGATGGACTGGTGGAGATGGCCTGGTATTTCCCAGGAGGCCAGAAAAGTCTGGATCTCTTCCCAGAGCCACTTGCCATTGCGAATCTCCGTGGAGATATTAAATCACACAGGAAGCAATTCAGCTTTTTAACACAGGTCTCCTCAGCGGTGTTTATAATTGTTGAATGCATCGGTGAGAAGGAATACGCCCTTTTGTCATCGCTGAAGAAATCATCAGTTCACTACTACTTTATCCTGGAAGAGGGTAGCAGACAATTTGAACAAACATATTCTCTCGCCAAGAAATTACTTCCTCTTCTTGAAGTCAGTGTACAGATATTAGTGAAATCTGCCTCAACAAATATGGCAGAGTTTGTGAAAAAGCTGCAATCTAGAGTGCACAAAACTATAAGTTCTCATCCTGAGCAAATAGCTGTACAAGGTATGGCTGCTGTGTCATATGGCCTTGCCATCTTGGTAGATGAAGATAGCGAAGAATGTCAAAATGCTCGCAGACGTGCAAAAAAGGTGACAGAAAACATAAAAGATGTTGCAAATTATAGGAGAGAAACACTAAAATTCCAGGAGTATCTACTGAAAAACCAGGCAGAAGCAGAGAAAGAAATGCACAGAATGGAGAGTCCAAAATGGGGAAGTAGGTTACTGGCACTCCATAAACAAGTGAATACGTATGATCTCACAAGCGGCCTGTCTGATTTTTTCAGCAATTTGCAATCTGCAGAGAAACACTATTTCTTAAAATGGATGAAGTTTTATCTGGATCGTATCTCTCAAATGCACCTTGCTAAATTAGAGAGACACTCCAAGGAGAAGCAGATGTCTGCTGCTTCCCTAGGAGTTGAACATTTCATGCGTGAATTGGGGCAGGTTTATGAGGCAAAACATCTGACCATTAAAGAGGGAAAATCAGGAAAAAACCTCAGCCAGCTGGTTGATTTGCCAAAGATCACAGCTGACTTGATGCTGGAAGGGTTTACTTTAGAGTTGTTTGATGAAGATGTCTCCAACACTCCCCTGCAATGGATAAGTGATGTTCTGACCGAACTCCACAACAAATTAGAAGGTCAATCCAAAATTATGGTGATAACTGTGTTGGGAGTGCAGGGAACGGAGAAATCCACTCTTCTCAATACCATGTTTGGGCTGCAGTTTGCTGTTAACAGAGGCCAATATGGACGCAGTGCGTCCGTGGCATTTCTTAAAGTTACAGAGGACTTGGCTGAGGATCTGGGTTGTGATGCCATCCTAGTGATAGACACAGAAGGCTTAACATCTCCTGCCATGGTGAAGGTGGAAGGCGCCTATCTGCGCAATATTAATAATTTAGCCACTCTAGTAGCTGGGCTGACTGACATCACCATAGTGAACATGGCCAGGGAGAACACTACTGAAATTAAAGATGTCTTCCAAATGGTGGCCTGTGCTTTCCTTGAGAGGAAGATGACTGGTCAAAAGCCCAATTGCCAGTTTGTTCATCAGAATGTCAATAGTGGTTGGGCTGTCATACAAAAAATGTTGGCCAGGAGGCAGCTTTTAGAACAGCTTGATGGAATGATCCAGGCTGCAGCTAAAGCATATAAGGATAAACGGAATGTCAGGTTTTCAGACATCATGGACTATGACTCAGGAACCAATAACTGGTGCATCCCAAGTCTGTGGCAAGGAGTTCCACCTATGGCTCAAATCAACAGGGGATACAGTGAGAACGTTTCTGAACTAAAGAAGTACCTCTTTAAAATAATAAAAAGCCGCTCCCACAAAAACCCTCCCAAGGATATTCCTCAGTTGATCGAGTGCTTTAGAAATCTATGGATGCCGTAAAAATGATAAAATCTGCTTCTGAAGTGGGTTCGTAAGTAAGTGGTTTATAACCAGCCTTTCATTAAATATTCCAGAAGGCCGGGCCTTCTTCGTGATGGCACCAACTCTGTGGAGTCAGCTCCTGGTGGAGCAGGACCCCTCCCTGCTAATGTTTAGAAGGCAGCTCAAAATGCTGCTTTTCAGGGAAGCTTTCCACAGCGATGCTGCTTAATGTTACACCTTTTGCCCTGATCTTAGAGAAATAATGCGCTTTTGGTACCATTTTTCAACTATTTTAACTCTTTTTACTGTTTAGTTTTATATTTATTGTTATATTTTCTTTATCTCATTATGTTGTGAACCACCCTTTCATTAGTGGGATGGTATATAAATTAAATAAATAAATGAACAAACAAACTAAGCAATTGTCAGCATAATGCTTCCCAGACTACCATCATAATGCAGGGTCTGGGTTCTGAACTTAAATCACCATATGCCCAAGTACAGGTTTCATATTGCTCTAAAATTGTGTATTCTTGGGGGCCTGCTCAAGAAAAAAATGTATTTCCAGTAGAAAGGCAAAGAACAAGGAACTGGATAAAAGGGCCAGTCACCTCTCAGTCAGCTTGCAGATCAAGTTTACAAGTTTATTAAAAAGATAACATAGAAAGGGGGGGGAGGAAATAAACTGAAGATTCCGGTACCAACATCAGAGAAATAGTGTGTGAAGATGACATATAAGAAACAGAAATTCCCAGCTTTCACTTACTCTAATCAAAACAAAGTCTCTTGCAACAGGCTTCCTCACAAGTTGTGGGAAATTACTACTTGCATGAAATCGACCTCCTGGCTCCCTCCATACTCCATTGAGCTAATATAAAGATGAGCAAGCTGATAATTATCTGTAATCCTTTTTTAGCCTGGCAGAGAGTCAAGAACAAAACCAGGGCCTGTGGCATATCAGTATCTCAGTTAACCTCTTTCTTGGTAGGTTGAAATGTCTCGGCTACTCATCCAAACAGCTTCTTCAGTCTGAGGAGAGTTATTACTGCTTTGTTTTCTGGATGTTTTCATAGTGACTGCTTGATAATTGAAACTTCCAGAATTTTCTATGGAATTGATGTCAGGCTGACTGGTCTGTAGTTCCCAGGTTCCCCCTTTTCGCCTTTCCTGTAGCTAGGGTCAACATTAGCCATCCTCCAATCCTCTGGCATCTCCCCCACCCCCACACACACCCCGTTTTCCATGATTTCAAGAAAATACTGTATAAAACTGCCGCTCTCAGGTCAGTTCTGATATGAAATTAGTGTATAAAGTTCTAAGTTCACAATACAGTAAGAGAGATGATTTTTACAAAATGGAGGATTTTACAAAATGGAGTTTAGGTAGTTTAGACTAATAAGGGCCTAAGTTGTGTTGGCGTTGTGTGATAGGCAGAATGTGAGCCCTCCGTCATGACCGGATTGGTCAGAGGGATAGAGAGGGAAAATATGCGTCGGGTATATAAGTTGTTGTTTGTGCGGTGTAACAGCAGAGACCATACTTGCCGAGGTGTGCTCTCTCCATGGCTGCAGACATGAAAATAAAACCGCTTGCTATAATCCTGGAGTGAATATTTTCATATCAGTTCTGCAACCCTCTGAGGCGTGCATACTAGCTAAGGGGAAAGTATTGTATATAAAACAGCCTGGTTTGATTTGCGTTCTTTCCAGTGTCCACCGGGCTTTAGGATCCGGCTGCTCCTCTTAGGAACCTATTAGGGAAGAGATTCCCCTTCACCCCTTCTTCTGTCCAGTCCAGGTCACTCTCAGTAGCTGCATCAGGAAGAGTTTCGCTTTCTCAAAGGTCCAGCAGCCCCTCCAGCCATGGCAGGAGTGAAGGTTGGGAGCAAAGCTCCCAGGAAGGGTCAGGATGCCACCTGCTGCCGGCAAGCACAGGTCCTTACCATGGAGAAAGGGCAGCGTCAGCCGCTGTCCTGACTTGACCTCCCCCCTTTCAAACACTGCTAGGAGGACGGGGGCAAGTCTCTGACAGATCGGCAGCCTCGAGCCCCCCCCCAATAAAAACCCATCCAACCAAAAGCAAGAAACTTCCCATAAGGGTGAGTCTTCCCACGTCAGCTGGGAGACCCTGGAAAGGTGTGCACGGGAGGGTCGGGGCCAGTGTGACGGTGCAGATCCCGTGAAAGGCAGGGGTGTGCGGCAGGCTGCTTTTCTGGTCCGAGGGGAGCGGGTTCTCTCTGTCTCAGCGCTCAGGGCTGCTGCTGCTGCTCCCGTTGCTGGCAAGCAAATGGTTAAAGCTCCAGGGAATTTTTTAAAAGGGAAGTCCTTCCCTCCCTCCAC